AAACTAGAATTTGGTCAGTCATACCTATATTTATCTATTATTATTAATAAATATTGTGTATAAACGTAATAGGCGTGTGAATGCCGGGACCAGAAATACAGAAATGATTGGCATTTCCCATCAAACACTGAGGGCATTTGAATGTCTAGAATACACAATTACATTAAGCCTGTCAACAGTCTATGAATCAATGCACTGCTCAATGTCGCCCTCTAGTGATCAAAATTGATAAATGTCTGCATGCTTCATGGAACTCAAATTCAAGTTTTTGCTATTTAAATTCAGCATTTTGTATATAAAGGCATGGAGCTTAAAATATATTTTTACTTCCATAATCAAAGTGTACTTGTACAGGCATATACGATCAATCACAAACTAGCCAATACTTTGTAACGTTGTCAGAGATGGGTTAAGGGATGAACCAATTATCACAGTGGAGAGAGCTAGCAAGTCTTGTCAAGTTTTTTATCTGAGATTCCATCCAAAAGGTTGTCTACAATAGGCTTGTACAAATCCAGTTTTATATTTTGTACTTAGAGGGTCGACAAGGGGTATTTTTGTAAGCTATAATCAATTGTTTTTATTTTTGTAATAATGTTAATTATGTTTAAATAAATAAAAAACGTAAATTCGTAGACATGGGCAAGGTGTAAAATGTAATCAACTATTTTATTCGTCAATAATTTGTACAAAAATAACACAAATTATGAAAAATATTATGAAAATGTAAAATGTAATTAGGAATTTACTTTATCTGTAAAGAGTAAAACCCTATTTTTTTACTGTAAATGGAACTTTCATTTTATTTGCTGTAAAAACGTAAAATGCTGTTTTTATCTCCTGTAACCTATACCAGCAAATCCCTTGCCCCCCCCCCCTACTTAGGGGTGACCCATTTGTAATCTAAGCAGAAGGAACAGAAAGTAATTGCACAATTTTCACAATATTGTTGCATGGATAATTTCCCTAGAGCGTGTCGGAACATTATTTGTTTTGCCATAAGAAGTTTTTTTTTGGACTTCAGTTGAGATAGCAATTTTTTCTAATGGAGTCTATGCAGTTACCCTGTCTGTATGTATGCATGTCTGTATAAAGTATGTCTGTTCTACTATTATCTCAGGAACCACTCATTGCATTTCACTAAATCATAATGTGAAGACCTGACTGTGCATATTAATTACCTTATATGCATAATAGTTATTTAAATACTAACCATTGCATTTCAATGAAATTAAGTACATAAATGCTCTTGGACAATTTGAAGACCTGATTAGTTTTAGATTTGAATCTGTGCATTTTAACTACCTGATTTGCATAATAGTTTGTGTTTCAGAGACATATCATTAAATTTCAATTAAGTTTGATCATCGACCCCCCTGGTTTGATGAAATAGGTGCCAGAAAACAATACACACACCTAATTAGTTTGGGGTTAAAATCCCATACATATTCAAAGCGGCAGTCGTCGCGTCGCGTCCTGTTCGATATGGGACTCATAGCTACGTATACAACGCATGTAAAATACATTGTTTATTTACATGAAATTCGAGCACACACTGCGCGACGACCACCGCACTTTAACTAATTTGCATGATAATTAGCTTTTCTATAATAAATTATTGCAGTAGCCATAATTAGCCAATTTTCAGATTTTTCTAGAAAACCAATTATTGCATTTCAATGAATCCTGGGGAGCGAAGAATTTAGGCTTGAACACACCACTGCCACCTATAATGATTACCTAATTTGCATAAATTAGTAAATTTCTGATATCTCAAAAAAAATCAGATTTTAATTAAACATATTGCCCAGGAAAAAATCAGACTACAAACCAGGGATGTACAGTCAAATGTATTCCTTTAGTTTTAATAAGATTTTTCTGAGTGTTATAAACTTTAATAGTGTAGATCACAAAACGGTACATTATATTACACACAAGACAACATACGGTAGTAATAGTGAAATACTTGAAGTTAATTTATTGCAACCTGCAAACCACAGCAACTAATGCTTGACTTCTCACAGAAACATAAAATACAAATAATTCACCCAGCTCAAAATTTCAGATATATATTTATATACAACAGTGACTCTACAATAAATTTTATGTGTAAACTAGTACTGTAACAATGCATAACAATGTCCCCCAAAAGAATGAAAGAAAATTTTAAACTATAATTATTATTACTCCTGTACATTTTTTAACAAAGAAAGCGCCTTCAACTGTGAAGAACAGATAAACAGGTATACCTGACTTGAAAAAAAGACATCTATTTCAGATAATGTATTTGTTGCACTTTTCACCTGAAATGTTCTGAAAAATGTTTATAATATTACATCATAAAATTTCCCCCCATACAAATTCACAAAAGGGAACTATTTTTTTTTTTATCACTGGAATGCATAAACTTAAAATGAATATTCCCCCACTGAAATAAGTCCATGTATATGTAATTTGACAGGCCAAAACATTTGTTTCTGGTCAGTTAGGAAGATATATACAATTTCATACTTTTTATCAGGGTTGTTAATGGGAAAAATAAAAGCACACAACTTTTTTTTTTTTTTTTTTTTAAATATTTCAGGACCGGAAACATTTTTCTTTGGTTTTTACAAGGAGAAGCGTAGTTAAACTAGTTTTTTAATTATGTATAAAAAAAAAAAACAATCTTTCAATTCAAGATATATCACTGAATATTGCCTATGATTACTGATTTTCACAAAATTCAAGTATATTTCAGAATTATTAAATTGGACTTGCTGGACATCTTAACTTTTAACCATGATTTGCAATTCACATGCTGGTGTATTTTGGGAACAACTTTACTTCATTTTATCATC